ATGCTCTACGGTGGTAGAGCCTCGACCGTGGTGAGCAGGGTGATAAGCAGCTGGAGGAGAGGCTAGTTGTGCAATGAATTGAAACGGTATGCCTTGGTTACGTGGCTTGTCGACGGCGCAGGCCACCCCGGTCTTATGGACCCGGCGGAGCAGCGATTTCAAATTGAGGCTCTATGTGGCAGTATGCGCAACGAGGTGGGGACGGTTGCGTGGCCAGCTACCCAGCGGAGCCAAGGATGCGACGAATTTGATTATAGCGCTGCGATCACGACAAATTGAAGGAAGGGGGTCCCACCGGCCATGGCGACAGCGAAGATAGGGGAGGTTCTAGCACGGCATGGCTCGGCACAGCCGTGGTCGTCAACGCAACGTACTCGTGCACATAATGACGGGAACAGCAAGCGTGCTCCAGGCGGCTGTCCGCACGGCCGAACCCGCAAGCCGATGAAGCTCGATGATGCGGCACAGCGGACGACGCCGGACAAAGGAAACACTAGCGCAACATGACGCCGAAGCGATGGTGGAGCAGGCGGTCGTCCCATGCGCGTGCAGCCGCGGCAAGTCAATGGCACCAGTGCCGGGCATGGCAACGGGCGACGGGTAGCACGGCCGGGTATCGTGCGACGTGACGGTAGGGCAGAGCTACCAAGACCCCGGGCGCAGTGCGCCTGCGTGCGCGTGCGGTGAGTGCTAGCAGATACGACCACCCGAGCTATAACGCGGGACCTAGTGCACTCCCGGCCAGAGCAGGGTAGGGCACGGGCGGCGTTCGAACAAGCGCGTCAGTCGTGGCGATGTGAACTGCGCGCTAGCGCGTGGCAGCCAACAGCCGAGGCAGCAGCACTAGGTCCAAGCGCGCGATGGGCTAGCAAAGGACGGTAGTGAGGACACGGCCAGCGCTTCGACGCGCGCTGGGCAAGCCAACAGCGGTGCAAATCCGAGCAGTAGTGGTGACCATGGTCAGCGCAGGCTTTGTTCGAATTAGGTGACGTGCATGGTTTTTAAAGTGGGTCAAAACTCAAACCCGAATGCTACATCCGCCAAACCAGTCGTTCTACACTGAAAAGGGTACCTAAGGCTAGCCAGTCGTGCCAAAACATCTCGCCACTTCTTAACCCGGTCTCTCTACAAAAATTGCCAAAAGTGGCTCCGTCGACTCGTTTTCAAACTTACGTGAAATGACGTAACTCCGAACGGTTTCACGTCGAATTCCAATTCCGACCTACTGGATGTACTAGCTAGCTATCCTCGTCCTTGACCGGACATATTTCATCGTCGCCTACGAAGTACGTACTACAACTTTATTAAAGTTCGTAAAAATGTTCTACATCATTTGTATTCGATAAAAATTTGATTAGAATACTAAACGATATCAAGCGACATGAAACATAATGTTTGTCTCTTGTTTCGGATAAACGTTTCAAGTACCGTACATAGATTTATACTTTATGTTACACACAATTGCACATAAGTATGATGCTCATGCAATGTTTAAACAAAAAACCATACAATGTAACACCAAGGGTGTTAATATAGGATCACTAAGGGGTTTAACCATATGCACTGATGCTGGCCAAGTAGTGATGTTAGGGGTAGGTGATGTGTTCCTAGAGGCAGAACATAGGGAATGTATGTTTCACTTGGTGTCCAATTTTAAGAAAAAAAATTCATGGCAACATTTTTTATGACCACCTTTGGGCAGCAGCATACTCATGGAACCCATATTTGTTTGAGAAACATTGGGCTGCAATGGAGGCAGCAAAGCCAAGTGCTACTAATTACCTTAGGAAGTGGCACACTAGGCTGTGGACAAGGAGTCAGTTCTCAACCATTTCCAAGGTTGATTATGTAACCAACAACTTGGCTGAGTCCTTCAACAATTGGATTAAGCACCACAAGTCCTTGAACTTGGATGACTTAATGGACAAATTAAGGCAAATGCTTATGATCAAGTGGAACCAAAGGAGAAAAATAGCAATGAAGTTAGATGGCTTGATTCTGCCCCGTATAATTAAGAAACTGAAAGAAATGAGTAGAGAATTAAACTTGGAGGTGCTTGAATGCTTAGAAGTTGCTGAAGTTACAGCATTGGAGGGTACTGGCTTTAGGTTTGTTGTCAACTTGCAAGATAAGACATGTTCATGTAGACAGTGGCAAGTTTCTAGCATTCCTTGCAAACATGCAGTAGCATTTATCACATCACTTCACAATGCTCCTCTAGAGAAGTATGTAGACATGTATTACTCTATTGACAAGTTTAGAGCAGCATATAAACACTTAATCCCTGCTATGTCTGACAAACGCCAGTGGCCTAAATCTACACATGGATTTTTCATGCATCCACCTCTATTGAAAGCAACTGATGGTAGTCCAAAAACTAAGAGGTACAAAGGTTGTAGTGAGAATAAGTGGAAAAAAGGCCAGCACCAATGCCCTATTTGTACAAGCTATGGACATGATTGGCACAATTGCAAGAAGGGTAATCCAGAGGACATTGCTGCTATGATGGCTATGAGGTACTATACATGCTAACTACTTTATTGTTGATTGCATTTTCCTTTTGGCATAATATAGATTGTAACTACTTTCTTCTTTATCATGTAGAGGACCACCTAAGAAGAAGGCAAAGAAAACCAAAACAGCAGAGTCACCCATTGTGCCTTTGGACAATGAAGCACCAGCAACTTCTATGTTTTTTCCAACAAGGTTGGCTCATGATTTTGTCTCACTTTTTCCCACAACAACCTGCAAGTTTTGAAGCGCTTTACTTTTGCCATGTTAACCAAAATTTGGAGACAAGTATGAAGAGTAAGGATAACCAAGTCATTTCTAGTATTGGAGCATCAAAAAGCGCGGAGATTACATGCAAGAAAAAGGCAAATAAGGGCAACTCTAGTTCTGGAGCATCAAAAAGGTAATACACAGATTAAAAAAGGTCACACTGCTATTGCTATTTTGTTGCTACTATTACTTTGTTGTCTCTTGTTCAAATCTAGTTCTGTTGTACACAAGTCAATATCAGATTCAAATGAACCTGCGCCTATTGATGCTCCAGTCAAGGCAAAGAGCAAAAAGAAAAAGGATCCTACTAAAAAGAAAACCACCATTCCTATGCTGCCACTTGACAGCCCTGCAATGGGCACAAGAAGCAAAAGGATGGATCCTGCTAGCCCTACAATGAGCACAAGAAGCAAAAAAAAAGAAGGCTCAGCCTGTGATACTCATGTATCTGTGAATTTGGACTCCGCTTTGTGTGTGAACTTGCATGTATCCGTGAACCTTTGTGTGCGAACTTGCATGTGAATTTAGACTCCTGTGAACTTGCATGTATATGTGAACCATTTTGTGTTTGAAGTTAATGTGGTGCTGGTATGTAAACTTGCTATATCATGGCCCTGTTCGGCTTACCCCATATTCGGCTTGTTCGGCTTCTTTTTCAGTCGGAACAGTATTTTTCTCTCACAACAATTCAGCCGAAACAGTATTTTTTAGCCAAGTTTCAGACCAACGAATGGGGCCCATGTGTCATCATCATGCTATGTAAATGTTGAAAAAATAGTTGTTAGAAATCATGCTATATTATATCTGTGACACTGCTGTATCATGTTGACAAAAAAAAGAGAGGAGCCAGAGGCCGACATCTGTTGCATGCTTGCGTCCCAAGCGCCTCAAAGCATGTGCTAACGCGCCACTTGCATGCATGCGCCCAAAGACCTGGGGCAAAATGTCTTTTTAACAGCCACTTAACACCATTAGCTGATGGATTTGACTGCGGTGTCATATTAGGGATGAAAGTTCAAGTGAATGTCAAATAAGTAACGAAGAAAATTTCAGGGTCAAGAAAGAAACAACTTATTTTTTCAGTGTCAAATAAGGAATTCTCTCAGGAAAGTATCATCAGATTTTTTTCCTATCTGAGTCTGAACTTCGTAGCCTGAGCAGACTAGCAGAGGCAGCAGCAGCAGGTCAGAAACGCAATACGCCCTAGCCCCCAACCGCACAACCCCTGGCTCCTCCCGCCACCACCGAGGCACGCCGGGATGCCAAAGCCAGGGCCTCCCATCGTCTCCCTCCTCTCGCAGTGCAATGGTGGTCACCAATGGATGCAGTACGGCTCGCACGCAGGCCAGCGTGAGCAGAGGGGCGAAGAGTGGGGAAGGGCAAGCGGACGAGGCGGCGCATACCTAGAGGAGCTAGAGTCATCGGAGGCCATCGTCGGTGACAACGTCGACATCCTGCACCGGCGCAATCGGCAATGGCGTCGTAGTAGGGTTTGGATCCTTCCTCCCGGTCTTGTCTGTAGCCGCCGGATCTCGACAAGCGGTGGATTCGTCGGGGCCCCTCGCTTCTCAGCCCTCAACCAGCTTGAATCCGCCTCGAATCGAGGCAGCACTGATGAATTCGCCCTAAATCGAGGCCGTGCTGACTACGACATACCTTCACCTCCACGTCGACAGGGGCTGCACCGGCGTCGACGATGCTTCTGCCTCCATGTCGACGGGGGAGGTCAGCGGGTGCCACCCCAAATCGAGGCCGGGCCACGACGACGGAGCTTTCACCTTCGCCTTGAAGAAGATGAATCGAATGCGCCGAGCAGGGAGAAGGGGGAAAAGGAACAGCGCACTGTTTTGATTTTTTTTAATGGCCCATCGTGGCCCAATGTTTCCGAGTTAGGACAGAGCGCGACAAAAATGACAGGAATGGAAGGACACCGCAAAAGGGAACCGTGCGTCGTGAGCTCACGCGGCGCACGCGCGCTGAATAAGATTTGGGGCGAACGAAGGCTCCGTTTCCTAAACAGTTCGCTAGTAGTATTATGGCAGGCAATCAAGTACTAGCAAGCAATCAACACCATCTATAAACCGACCATCCTTGTGTAAAATAAGGCTATACAGGAAAATTAAAAGACCTCCAGCTATCGGTAGCAGCTACCTATATACATAACCGCTGGGCGCTGGCAGGCCGGCCCATGCGATTAACGCGGCGGCAGGGCAGCAGCCATGGAGAAGGAGGCGGCGGCGGAGGCGGAGCTTGAGATCCCCGGCGAGTGCCAGTACGACGGGGACCCCGTGGTGGTGCGGCCGAGCCAGCCGACGCCGCGCCACACCCTGCACCTCTCCAACCTCGACGACCAGCGGTTCCTCCGTTTCTCCATCAAGTACCTCTACGTCTTCGCGGCGCACGCCGCTGTGTCCGCCGACTCGCTGCGGGCGGCGCTGGGCCGGGTGCTCGTCGACTACTACCCGCTCGCGGGCCGGCTCCGGCCGAGCGACGACGAGGAGGGGAAGCTCGTCGTGGACTGCAATGCCGAGGGGGCGCTCTTCGCCGAGGGGCGCCTCCCGGGGCTCACCGCCGCCGACTTCCTCCGCGGCCGCGGCGGCGCCAGGCCGCACAAGTCCTGGAGGAAGCTGCACTACAGGGTGGAGGCGCAGAGCTTCGTCGCCGTGCCACCTCTCGTCGTCCAGGTGAGTGGGGGCTCTCTCTCTTTTACTTAGTGCCAATAATTAATTATTGTCTCTTAATTTGTTTGGTTGTTCTAAATTCTTCTCTTGGTTAATCATGCACAATTATTTTATTTATTACCAATTAAACAAGTTCTGGATTCAGAAACAACTAATCGTCATTTGCCAGTTGCCATCACTTAAGCAAAATTACCACCTTGTTTGAAGTCTAAAAGATTTGTGGTCACTTTGGTTTGGTGTGCTTGAGATGGTTCCAGTAGAGACGATGTAAAAGGTCACACAGTTAGAAGCAACATGGCATGCAACTAGCTATGTCACTTTTTTCTTGATCACTTGCTTAATCTTCTCATGGTTAAACATAAATAATCATGTCGATCTAGTTTATGTCATCATGCACTCCATGCTTGTGCGCTAGGATCAAGCTTTTGTCCCCTGCAGTGCCACAGCTTTGGCCAAGTGATGGCAATTCTTAAAGATAGCAAAAGGATGGGATAGGGTTAGGAGAGTCCAACCCTTGCTTCCACCCTTTCTCAAAAGGCCTTTTTAGGCAGTCAAGCATATGGCTAGGCTGTATCTTTGACAATCCAAAATCTCCTTGTCCACTTGAGTGAAGATTTATATCGGTCCTGATACCGTGCATGCATGCATAATCTTCTCCGATCCCCCAAAGTTATGCTCTAGGCCTCGTTCGGCTTATCTTATATTCCAGCTTATTCAACTTCTTTCTTTTCAGCCGGAACAGTATTTTTCTCTTACAACAATTTAGCTGTAACAGTGTTTTCAACTAATTCCAGCCAAACGAACGGGCCTATTAGGAAAATCAGATCAGATGAAAATATTATGATCTTCCCCCAGTGCCCTTCAAAATGCCATTGTTTCTTACTACCATGCCCTGTCCTTGTCATACATACGTACTGATCTCCAACTTCAGTACATAGCACAGTCTACAGTGATGGTTGGTACCAGAGGGGTCATGAACGCAAATACTGTAGACTGCAGCAGTGCAGGTCACGTATAGTCCTGCTGTAATTCAGCAGGATCAGAGTACTCTGATACTATCCCTGACCGAGTGACCCTACCCCAAATCCAAATTCAATTCAGAATTCATAGTCCTTGCTGGTTGCCTGCTTTTTCTTTAGTGATCTTTACACTTGGCGATGCATGCATGTGGGATGGCAATGGCATGATGTAATGCTGCTCCCTGCACCTGTAGCTTCCAGGAAAACGATTGGCCAAGGTGGTGTTTAAATTCAGGGAGTAAAGTTTAGAAGTGTCACAACGGAGTGTTCAGATAGTAATAATAAAATAAATTATAGAAGTTCTCAGTAATCTGCTAGACGAATTTATTAAGCCTAATTAATCCGTTATTAGCACATGTTATTGTAGCACCACGTTGTCAAATCATGGGCTAATTAGGTTTAAAAACATCATCTCGTAAATTAGTCTCAATCTGTGTAATTAATTATTTATCAGTCTATATTTAATACTTCACGTACGTGTCAAACATCCGATACGACAGGAGTAAACTTAGAGGAGGAACTAAACAATGCCTCATGATCGATGCATGTGTGTGTGCTGCTAGTGCTGTAGCGTAACGATGTTCATCACTGTTTCTCGCTTGCATGATTCCTTCCCTCTCGCATGTTGGGAGGTTACGTAACTAAGCTAGGATTAATCTCAATGATGGTTGATCAAAGTGGCACGAGCACGCGCATTTATTCAATTCAATTATTAATCAAGTGTTGGTGATTACCTAAAAACAAATCAAAATGCTGATGACGGCATGACATGGCACGTTCACTCGTTCTCAGGTCACTTGGCTCGGCTGCGGTGGCATGGTCCTCTGCACCGCCATCAACCACTGCCTCTGCGACGGCATCGGCACCGCGCAGTTCCTCCACGCCTGGGCGCGCGCCGTGCGCGGCGGTGGCGGCGGCCACGGCGCACCGGACGCCGGCGCCGACACCGACGACCCTGTCCTGCCGGCGCCGCCGCCGTTCCACGACCGCCGCGCCCTGCGCCCGCGCTGCCCGCCGCGCGTCGCCTTCACGCACCCGGAGTACAACAGCCGCGGCGTCAGCGCCGTCTCAAACGGCAACGGCAACGCGAACGAGGCGCCGCCGAGCCTGCTGGGGCAGCCGCTGGCGCCCGTGTCGCTGACCTTCACGGCGGCGCACCTCCTCCGGCTCAAGCGGCAGTGCGCGCCGTCGCTCAAGTGCACCTCCTTCGAGGCGCTCGCCGCGCACGTGTGGCGCGCGTGGGTGCGCGCCCTGGACCCGCCGGGCGCGCTCCGCGTCAAACTGCTCTTCTCCGTGAACGTGCGGCGGCGCCTCAAGCCCGAGCTGCCCCGGGGCTACTACGGCAACGGCTTCGTGCTCGGGTGCGCCGAGTCCACGGCGGCGCAGCTCACCTCCCCGTCGTCCTCCTCGGCCGCCGCGCGCTACGGGGTGCGGCTGGTGCAGGACGCCAAGGAGTGCGTGGACGACGACTACGTGCGCTCCATGGTGGACCTCCTGGAGGAGCGGCGCGGCGCCCTGCCGGACCTGGCGGCGAGCCTGGTCATCTCGGCGTGGACGCGCCAGGGGCTGGAGGACCTCGACTTCGGCGCCGGGAAGGCCGCGCACATGGGCCCGCTCACCAGCGAGATCTACTGCGTCTTCCTCCCTGTAATGGGCGACCCGCAAGGCGTCACCGTGCTCCTCTCCGTCCCGCAGTCCGCCGCCGACAAATTCCAGCACTGCTGCCTCGAATTCCTCAAGGACACAGACGTGGACGCAAAGCTCAGCTCACCATGCATTCTGCACGCTATATCAGAAAATGAGTCATGAGTACTAATTACTCGGGTCAATAGAGTTGAATGAAACATCATCTGCTGATGATCATAATCATGCCTGTATGTGCGCTCCGATCGGATACAGTAGTAATGTCAATCAATGGGTGATGAGCTCCTTTTTGTGTTGTCATCAATTAGCTGCTCATTGTGCATATTTTTTGTCTCTGTCTCTCTAATAAACAACATGTACTAGTAATGAAGCTAGAGAATCATGGTCGTTTATATTATTTAAGAAGGAGGAGAAAAAAACGTCAGAAAATCATATGGCGAAATGATGAGTGGAAATCATCTTGCGGGCGAAGTGGCTCGAGTTGTTGAGCTGCCACTGACAGGCCGCAGATAGAGATACTGAGGTATGAGCTGGTCACATCCCTTTCGTTCTCACTGAGATAGTGAGGTATGAGCTGGGCACTCAGCATCAACCGATACTTCGCTTTGCTGATAACAGAACACATGTAATATTCGGCCGATCATACATATATCCTATCCTATTCATATGAAATTAAAGAACGTACACTACTACAGAATAGCACTTCACTACTGGTCACATCACTGTCGGAATTAGGAGAACCGGCAGTGTTGACCATTCACTACCGGTTATTTGCTCTGAAAACCAAAAATTGATTTGGGATGTGACCGAACCGACAGTGATGACAACTATCACTGTCGGTTTGTGTCTCTAACCGGCAGTGGCTTGATGGCCACATATCACTGCCGGTTCAAGCCAAGAGCCGACAGTGATTGGACTCTATCACGGTCGGTTATATCCATGAACCGACGGTGATAAGCCTACAACACAAAAGGTTGCAGCCGTCCTCTCCTTCCTCCTCTCTTTCATCCCGAGAACAGAGGCACGCGTTTGGGCCCTTCCCTCCATTATTGCTGCTGCTCTTCACCATGAAGCTAGCACTTGGATTTTGAAAAATGGCTTGATCTTTTTACTTTAAGGTTAGTAACAAACATCTACTCCTTTGATTTTATTGCTTAATTAGCTTTGTTTTGATAGCTACATTGCTTGATTCTCATTCTAGTTCTTTCTCTTTTCTAGAGAGCACTTTTCTAATTGGACATTTGTGGAAGGCTCAAATTATGGTGAATCCATCATCCAAAAGGTTGGTATCTATGAACATATTTAAATTCCTAGCTAATTATTCCATGGTGGTCAAGATCATCATTGTTAGTATGTGATGCTATAATTAGTTCTTAGAAGTAGAGTAGATTCTTTTATAATTTGTTGAGAAAATTAATCTATGTGTCATATAACAACACATTGTTTGGAGCTACATTGTTGTTCATAATCATGTCTCCAATTTTAGACTTATTTTTAAAATTAGTGTCTCCATTTTTATGTGGCATGGAGTAGAATAATTGTTCTTCATTATTGTGCAATAATTTTTTTATGGGGCTACGTTTTTCAATTTATATGGGCATTGTTTGGAGCTACATTGTTGTTCATGATCATGTCTCTATTTTTAGTCTTTTTTAAAATAAGTATTTCTATTTTTATGTGGCATGGAGTAGAATAGTTGTTCTTTATTATTGTGCAATAATTATTTTTTACTACGATTTTCAATTTATAAGGTCGGTGCTACCAATTTTAATTTTTCAATAACTAGTGTACAATAATATTTTCCAAAAATGGTACTTTCAAGCTACAATTGTTGTTCATGAAGCTCGATTTCTTATTAATTCTTTGTAATTACTGTCTCAATATTTTTTGTGCAGAGATGGATTGAGAGTGGATGCATCTGTCCTGAACGGACAAGCGGTATATGCATGGCGTCAGCCAGTTTATCACCGATGCCAAATCTCATGCTAGGAATGGGAACCTTGTCTTCTGCCCATGCAAAGATTGTAAGAATCAAATGAACTTTCGTCAAATTGAGTCTATAAGATCGCACTTGATTATCAGGGGGTTCATGCCAAACTATACGATATGGACTATGCATGACGAGGTTGGTGTGAATGTTCCATAGGAAAACGATGATGATGTGGACATGCCTGACGTAGCCATCCACGATACTGACGAGGAACCCGGTGTCAACACGGAACCGATGGCCATAGTTAATAATGTGTTTAGGAACATGCTAGCTGATGACACCGAGGATAATAACGATGGCATTTCTCAGCTGCTGAAAGGTCCTAATATGGCTAGAGGGGAGGGTGAATAGCCTATTTAAAATTCTATAAATCAACTAGAGTAATTTGATTAGTAAGACAAATAGCGAAATACCAACTTGCTCTAGCTCTACGAGGGTTGTAAGCCACCTATCCAATAATTCTAGTTGCAATGATTACTAGACACACAACTTGCTATGATACTACTCACTAAGAGCTCTCAATCTTGCTACACTAAAGAGCTCCACTAGATGAACTTAAATAACAAATCAAGCTCTCAATTCTAATTACACTAAAGAGCTTGACACAACTAGTTTGCAAGAATATAAAAGAGTGAGTAAGGTGATTATACCGCCGTGTAGAGGGATGAACCAATCACAAGATAAATATGAAATCAATCACCGGGAGAATACTAAATGGTAAGAGACAACCGATTTTCTCCCGAGGTTCACGTGCTTGCCAACACGCTACGTCCCCGTTGTGTCAACCAACATTTGGTGGTTCAGCGGCTAAGAGGTGTTGCACAAACCTCGTCCACATGATTGGACACCGCAAGAACCTACCCACAAGTGAGGTAACTCAATGACACGAGCAATCCACTAGAGTTACCTTTCGACGCTCCGCCGAAAAAGGTACAAATCCCCTCACAATGATCGGAGATGGCCACGAACAATCACCAACTCGTACCAATCCCCTCCGCTGCACTAAGCCATCTAGGTTGTGGCAACCATCAAGAGCAACAAGCGAATCCCGCAGCAAAATACGAATACCAAGTGCCTCTAAATGCAATCACTCAAGCAATGCACTTTGATTCTCTCCCAATCTCACAAAGATGATGAATCAATGATGGAAATGAGTGGGAGGGCTTTGGCTAAGCTCACAAGGTTGCTATGTCAATGCAATTAGTCAAGAGAGTGAGCTTGAGTCGGCCATGGGGCTTAAATAGAAGCCCCCACGAAATAGAGCCGTTGGGCTCCTCACTGCACTGAACACGGGCCGACCAGACGCTCCGGTTATATTGACCGGACGCTGGACCTCAGCGCATCTTAGCCGAGGTATTGGAAAATATGGAGTATTTTCCATTGCACAATCCATGAAGTTCAAGGACTAGTATGGCCCAGAGCGGCTCGCTAGATTATTGTAAGAAGACCGAGAAGCATGCTTCATCTTATCGAATAATTTCTTTTTTATTTTGAGGGATCGAGATCTTGATAAGAACATTTGAACTATAACCGTAACATTTGTAATGTTTAATATTGATGGACCTGTCGTCTACGTAGCGTATATAAAGCGAAACATGATTCCACGTAAAATATAAATTAAAATAAATTATAAAACAATATAATGCGAGCGGGCAATCACTGCCAGTAGCAACAAACCAACAGTGATGGCCAAGATAGCACTGTCGGCTTGAGTCGCAAACCGGCAGCGTTGGTTTAGCCATCACTGTCGGGTCTTGTCACAAACCGGCAGTGCTGGTTATGACACCACTGCCAACTAAAAACACAAACCGACAGTGATGTTTGAGGTTACACTGCCAGGTGGTCTCATGAACCGGCAGTGTTGATGGAACTGAACTCTGCCGGGTTGTGTAAAGGACCGACAGTGAAGTTTAAGAACACTGCCGGTTTGTAGGAACCGACGGTGATAGCTAACCCTCGTCACTGCCGGTACGGTTGTGCCGGTTCAAAATCCGATAGTGATGGAGTATTTTGAACCGATAGTGAAGTGCTATTCTGTAGTAGTGGTATTTGGTGAGAAAGACAAAGCTGCTGATATTTCACAACACCCAAATTATTAAAAACGGAAGGATTGTTTTCATTTCTGGATCAAGAAAAGGTTTATAGCCTGTTCGGTTGGCTGGTTCGTTTCGTTGCTGGTTCGTGAAAGAAGTACTGCTGGTTGGTTTGTGTGAGAGAAAAATACTATCCTAGCTAAAAATTTACGATCATTTACGACAAGCCACAGCCAAACGAACAGGCTGTTAGTGCATGGATGCAGCCTTGCCAAACGAAGTGCATGGATGCAGCCTTGCAAGTGATGAGATAGAAAATACTCCCAAGCTGGTACTAGCAGTACCAAATTCTCCCATTTCCATTGCCTTCTTGCTGGCTCCTCGTGTCTTTGCATCATTTGCTTTTGCATGATTCGGCTGACCACAACAATCTATCCGATCCGGTGAGCCCCTACCCGGTCTATTAAAAGTATTAGCGTTACTCTTAGAATGCAATCAAAGTCAAAGCAAAATCGTCGGCTAGTAGCAGCTGCTAGAGAGCTAGCTTAGAGACTCGATAGATAGATAGATAGATAGATAGATAGATAGATAGATAGATAGATAGATAGATAGATAGATATCCGTCTCATTTTCAGTCTGATCATGTCCACATGGAGCTAGATCCATGGTGATCAAAACAGAGATCTTCCATGGACTGGCTGACAGACTGATTGCACCGTGGAATCGAATCTGCTGCCGGCCGGCCTAGCTATGTTCGATCGATCGTTCCCAGTGATCGTCGAGCTTTTTCTTTTCTGCTCACGAGGCTGCAGCCTTCTCGTGGAGGTGGAGGTGGAGCTCGTACAGGTAGAGAGTCAAAGGCTGTGGCGAACGCTTGTGCTATCCCAGCTTTTCCCGATGCTTGTATCAAAATCTGCCGGCTCCAGCCCTCTCTTACTGTCTACAGGCTACAACAACCTGCCGGGTGCCGGGAAGGAGATTGAGGTTTCGTTCTTTGAATGATGCATGCATGGAGACTTTTCGCGTTGGAACCTTGTTCCTAAATGACAATAGGAACCTGCTTTCGAACAAATTAAAAGTCTCTCAGCAGGTCTGATCGAGCGGTGACTGCTGGAGCTTCCTTCCACTTTCAGCACTAGCTA